TCTATCCCATCCTATCCTATTCTATCCCATCCCATCCTATTCTATCCCATCCCATCCCATCATATCCTATTCTATCCCATCCCATCCCATCATATCCTATTCTATCCCATCCCATCCCATCCCATCCCATCATATCCTATTCTATCCCATCCCATCCCATCATATCCTATTCTATCCCATCCCATCCCATCATATCCTATTCTATCCCATCCCATCCCATCCTATAATAATGTTTAAACATGTTCTTCTACGTACCTATAAAGAGTCATAGCTGAACACGTCTAGCTATTTGATTAGTTTCTTAGAACAACGATTATCAAATATTATCTACTATATATAATATCATATCCAATCGAAGCGTATCAATATCATGCCAGCTCATATCCAAACCCGGTCTAGTAAATCAAGAACGCAGTGTGAACATTCAAATCTATATATATGTTCGTTACAGACGTACCAATAAGCGAGTGTCTATGGCAACAAACTCGGATTATTGACAATAATCGAATTTCTCGTATGTTCGGTCGCCACAATAAGAAAGCGATCGATCGTAGAAATTGCCACTTACCTTTTTGTTCGGCTTCACTGCCACATATATCTGCAACACACAACAGTACACATTAATCAGTATTTATATGTATGGCCGCGGGTAAAACGTGTTGATAAGATAATGACACCAATTTAACGTGGAAGAAGAATAACGAACGTACTAAGTAAGTTCAAAAATATAGTTTAAGAGCAGATCAATTGACTCGTAATGGCTATTCATGTAACGGACGAGTACACACACTTGGCATTTCAGCCTGTAGTTTACTCTCAAACATCCTATACATAATAAATAAACTATTCAATCTTATTTTGAATTAACAGCCTATCATTACACGTGCACTGACGTCAAAACAACACAATTCACACCTATTAGTTGATATAGTATTGTACTACTACAGTGCGATGACATGGGCGGATACAGGATTTTTTATGGGGGGGGGGGTCCAAACTTTAAAATGAAATATAAACTAAGTTAATGATTTTCTTATTATACAAAAACAAATTGAATAAATTTTTCAACCGGGGGAGGGGGGCAAGAACCCCCCTATATCCGCCACTGCATGAGTAGTACACAGCGGTTCTCAGTTGGCTGTTTAGCGTACATTATCTGCATCGAGTTGAATCCAACTCCGAGTCGCCAAGTCGTCCTAGCTACTATGTTTATACAGAGTGGTTCTAAACCATCTGAGAATTTGACTACTAGTAGTCTAAAACACTAAAAACAGAGTGTATGGCGTTTCATATCACACGAAAAGATGTTAATCATGTTGAATGAGTGCGATTCCGTCAGAGCGTCGCGATCATTACCTGTTTACCACGTTGCTCCAAGAGTAACGAACCGGATAGTTACTATAGTAAACTGTTCAAAGAAATGTTGAAAATAATGCTAAATACACACAACAATTTACTTATTACCCACACTTACTTTAGGAAAGATGTTCAGCCGTTTATTTCGGATCAAAGTTCGGTTCCTTTTAAAAACGTAATCGATGTTTTCCGCCGGTACAGAGGTTGCATTTCGTGGCGTCAACGGGCGAGAGGGGTCAGCTTCTTTTCGCGAATGCAGCCTCGAAGCGGACGCTGTTCGTCTTAAACTTGACGGTACATTCAAACTTTCCTGCCGTGCACTTGTTATTTCTCTGGGCGATGTTCAGCGAATACATGCTGTTGTTTCGAAGTGTGGTCGCCGTGGTATGGTCTGCTGCGCGACAAAACCACGCATTGAGGACCATGCATTCCGTTACTCTGTGCGCACATAGAGGGCGTGTACCCATTACCTCATCTTTGATATTTTGTACATGGAAATGACACGTATAAATAACACACACGTAACCTGGGTAAACATTACCCCCTCTCAGTCTATGAATTAAAACAATGCTGGTATCTGTATCCACAGTTGGCAAAACATATTCCAGTAAGATAACATTGTTTAGTTACATCGCTGTGACAAGGGTCATATTCAATATGTTTCGTTGTCGCCGGGTTGGCAGGATATCCTCGGGGGCGGACATCCGGGCATTTTCACCGCCTGGCAACCCGCGGCGGTGAAAACAAAGGCCAAAAACTCGCTGAAAACGGTACTTTGGGATGATTGTTGAGACTCCTCTGAACAGTGTAACAAGATTAGCCCTACGTGTGTAACATATATAAATTTGGCTGTTCGGGATTACTTCAAAGTTGAGTTTGTGTTGTTTTCTCGAATTTTCACCGGCTCGACCGGCGTTTCACAGCAGCGCGCACAGAGCCCATAGAAATGCATGTACAGTTGTGCGCGTCGTAGCAACGTGGAACGTATTGTGACGTAGCTCCGCCCCCGAGGATACTTGGGACTTACTGATTAAAACAAGTCCCCCCTCCGCTGTGACATTTAAAGTCCCAACCATTCTAACTGTTTTATTGACGTCTAACGAATAAATTTTACACTGCAACCTGTAAACACTTCAATCAATCATTGAAGAAGCAATGTGGTTGAGCATGTATAAATAATTTTCTTTTGAAATACTAGTGCGCCTGCGCTTTGAATTATTTGTATAAATATTTAAATCCGAGGCGCATGCGTACTAGCATTGTTGTCAAACAACATATTTATTTTACAATAAATCATTTCCTACTGTTCAGTTTTATCAAAAAGTAATATAAAACGAAAATATATAAACATACGAGAGTTATTAAGTGTCAAATGATTTGGGTTTTGACCAAAATTTACTTTCACATAAATATAATTACTCTAGCGCCCTCTAGAGTTTTAAGTGGTCAAGTAAATAATGTATTTATCGTTTGATACAGTGTGTAATACTGGAGTAACAGACATTACGTAGATTGTAAACCTATTGTAAACTACTGGATACATAATTTCCATTCACAATCTCAGTTAATTAGGTAAATTTGATGACACCTTATGTACGTGATTTTCACATGCCAAACATGTCGCAGTGTGAACATTTTGACGGGTATTGAAACTCAAATAATTAATCCATTCAACAATAGACCTTATCCGGAGATGACAGGAGCGGATTTAGAGGGAGTCTGGGTTATGCCTCCGGTCAGTCACTTTTTTTTTAGTTTTAGGGTGTTGTCATGTACATGTGAGCATTATGTTTGCACTCTCCATTTTTGTAATTCATAAAACTCGCGATTCCCTCTTCTCTAGTATACAAAAAACCATGTTCGAGGTGGCTCATTTTCAAACCCATATTTCATAATCGACATGGTATTATACTATGCATGAACGTTATATCAAGCCGGGTTTGATTTGGGTATCCAAACAATAAATGTATGGAAAATTAACTATCCAATTTTCCTAGTTTATGTGTTAATGCAAAGGTCAAATTGGAGCAAAAATGTTAAATTAAATGAGCCTAAAACTAGCCCTGCCGGGCTCTGTTTCCATGTAAGCTTGAATTGTGATATAAACACACACTGTTTGATCGTAGAATGTAAATATAACATCCGAAAGTCTTTGGTTTACAGACGTGTCCCTCCTGAAATGAATAAATAAACGATAACATTACTGCAACATATATGTTTTTTTTTGCGATAATAGTCTATCACCTGGTCTTACGCAGTGTGCACATAATATTCAGCTCCATTATTTTGTTTGCATGAATTTGACAACAAAAGGAAAGAAAACAAAAGAAAAGTAACATTATATTTATTCCTAAATTCCAACAGTTGATCATAGTATGCTCAAAGATAAGAGCGCTTTAGTTAGAAGTATTGATATGGAGGACAGACTTGCTACACTGTTGTACCATACACTCACCCATCAAAGAATGTGCAGCCGAGAATAGAAAGAAGTGGCGAGGTTTGTGGCTGTCAATAAATGTATAGTTACAGGAATACACTTATCTAATGGTTTGATTATCTAATGCGAGTTGTAATACGGTATATTAGGTTTGGTTGTAGCAATGCAGTTTTTATTCGTGTAAAGTTAACTTGTAACATACTGTAACATGTATCTCCACTTGACGTACATTTTCCAGAGCATCTTTTCCTGTGTACATCTCTTATTATCTATTCTTGCAGCATCTTTTCTACTGTATTTCCTATGGCATCACCTCATACCCACATCTCATTTTATAAAATCTCTACCACTGCACAACTTTCTGCAACATATCTTTATATTGCATCTCTGTTTGCAGCATTTCTTCTATTGCACAGCTTCATGTAGCATATAACTTCTACTGTATCTCTTGTTTTACTGCTTCTCTTCAATTGCATATCTTCTACTGCAGCATTCCTTCTTACACTGCGTTGTTTTAACTGCATATATTTTACTGCATCTCCTGTACTGTACCTATGATTGCATCGCCTCTCTTACGGCAACTGTTCTTGCCAACTGTTCTTGTACCATATCTTCATCTCATATCTTCATGAAGCATATCTCTTACTTGCATATTTTCTTCTACATATCTTCTTTTCGACTGCATCTTACCGTGCAGCATATAATATACTGCATATATTTTCCTGCACATCTCCTATTGTATATCTTCCAGCAGCATATCCTCTAATTCATATCTTCTTGCAGAATATATTCTTGTAGCATATCTTGTACTGCATATCCTCATGCAGTATGTATTGTACTGTATCTCTTTTTCAGAATATCCTCTATAATATTATACGTTCTTGCAATACCCCTTATACTGTATATCTAATCCAGATTATCTTCTACTGTATCTCTTCTTGTAGCATATCTTCTTCTACTGTATCTTTTCTACTGCATATCATCTTGTAGCATCTCCTCTACTGCATCTGTTCTTTTATTGGCTCTTCTACTGCAATTGTTCCTTATACTGTATATCCAATTGTAGCATATCTTCTACTGCATATCTTCTTGCTGTATATGTTCTTCGACTGCTTCGTTTCTCTTGCACATCTTGCTATAGAGTATCTTCTACTGCATCTCTTCTTGTAGCATTTCCTCTCTTGCATAACGTCTACATATCTCCATGCATAATATATTATACTGCATCTTGCAGCATATCTTTCACCGCACATTTCCTTGCAAAATATTTTCTGATGCATATCTTTTTGCAACAAATTTTGTACTGCATATATTCTTGAAGTGTAACTTCCATATCTTCTTGCGACATCTTTTTACTGCATCTCACCTTGTAACATATCTTCTAGTGCACATCTTGTCACACCACATAGGTTGCATCTCATCTTGCACATGCATATTCACCATTGCGTTGTTTTGTTACATATTTTCTACTGCATATTTACTACGTGTCTTTTTTGCAGTGTCATCCACTACATCTCCTTTAGCAGAATGTCTTTTTATGCATATTTACTTGCAGCATATTTTCAAATGCATAACTTTCGCGGCATTACAGTATCTTTTTGCAGTGTATCTTCTACTGCATATTTTCTACTGCATATCTTCTAGCAGCATATCTTCTACTGCATATCTTCTAGCAGCATATCTTCTACTGCATATCTTTAACAGCATATCTTCTACTGCATATCTTTTAGCAGCATATCTTCTACTGCATGTCTTCTACAGCATATCTTCTAGCAGCATATCTTCTACTGCATATCTTTAGCAGC